AGCTAAGATTAATTCATAAAGTGATAACAATTATAGATACTGAACATATACTTTGTCTAAGTTGGAATTTTTCATTTGAACTCATCAGTAATATCATTATTGATTGAATCTAGAACAATGAAGTTTTATTTCAAACACTTTATCTTTATACCATAAGTTGGAAATCCTTTAGTTCAGATAACACAATTCAATCCATCCCACAATATCATACATTATTATACAATTGATATGTAGGTTAATGATATTTGAAATGGTTGATTTCAGTTAATCACAACTTCTCAATAAACTTTTAACACTTCATCTCAGTATTCCTTACCAATGTACATGCCTTACATGTACAATTAGAAGGCTTGTAGCGATTACTTTAAATGGAAGTTGATTTACATAACAGTTTGTAATCTACGTTAATATTTAAAAAAAAACCGTTAACCATACATAATTTTCTTTAAAATAATCCCATCATTCAAAGATGAGATAGGATGATTCATTTGTCAACAGGTATGAATGTGTTCTGGGATACATTTTTTAATCTTAACAGTTTGAATCAATAAGATTTAATTATTATAAATGAAATGATAAACAATCTAAATCTTCTATAAATGTGTGAAACATAATGTGATTAGTTTTAGTGAGGACCGTCCACGGGTGAACTCGAGGAAGCTGTAAGAAGCTCAGAAAGGGCCGAAGATATTCCATTCCATCACCTTTTGGAAGAATATTCTAGAATCTCTACGTGTAGCTTCCCGATTAGACAATGCTAATAGCCCCTTAGGTCCGGATTGGATAGCTATAATGATGATTTCGTTTTTACGAAAAACTATAAATACCTGACGATTTCGTATTATAATTTGACACTGTCTGCAATAACATTCCTTTCACTAGTCTTCTGTTTTCACATTGCGACTTAGAAGGGTTCTAGCGTTCTCGTGCTTAACTTGTACACAGTATATCAAGAATATAAACTCTAGATTTAACAGTTTTATGTGATAACTATAAATTTTTTTATTGTGTATAGTAAAATGTACACTGTATGTTTACAGGAATGCCAAAAAATGCTTGGATACGCAATAGAATTGGATAATTATGTCTAAGAATTATGCCAATTATTACACAGTGGATAGTTAGATATGGAAATTTCTAGAATCATAGTTTAATAATAAGAAAAATGTGTGTATTAAAAAATATACAGAATCCAATTCAGTTTTGTTAGGAAGATTAAAGCATGTTCCGTTAATGATTATGTTGGAGCACACTGATTGGCTATTTCTGATCCAATCAATATTAGTGGATAGTTGGAGAAGACTCTAGAACGTTCTCATGTAAAAACTAGAAATATACTAACGTTATTCTCTTATTTTGAATCCTACTTCCGTCTACCCTTGTTATTTGGAATATAATTTCATTTCTGTTCAATCGTGTTCTGATTTGCCGACTTGTCGAGTGAATTAATGTTCAGGAATACTATGCAATAAGAGTAGGTGGGTCATAATAAGAGAAATTATAACATAAGTTTATATTACTAAAAAAATCGAAATAGAAGAGATGAGACATTTACAAATAAGAGTAAATTACTGGATTAAATGTTACTCTTAAATTGTTTTGACTGAAAATTTGTGATAAAGCTGTTAATCAGAGAGGGGTTTGGCGGATATTATAGTAATTTAATAGTTGAATTCATGAGTCGTTTGAAGCTAGACCACCATGGAAAACCTGGAAACATCGGACAGATGAGAAGTCTTGTACTGGGACGAAACAGCCGTCTAGGGTTTCCAGGGGCTCTAGTATCAATTGACTCATGAATTCAACTATTAAAGCTGTTAATAATTTGCATTATGAGATCATTGATTTTTAACCTGAAAATTTCTGTATTCATAACATGTTTTCTTCTCGCTTCTGTTCATCTATAAACTTCCTAAATATATTATCGGTAGATGAACATAATAAAACAAACAGTATATTCTGACTACCCATATATAATGTCATGATTAACGTACAGTCGTTAAGTATAGTTAACATGCAATATATATGTATATAGAATAAATGAATGTTACCATGCCAATCAAATATGATTTATCGAATAGTTACAACAAGAATTTGTTAAATAAATATTGATGATAAACTTTTGCATTGCGAGTTGTAATTGTAATCTGTAATTGTTTGAAAAGACTTTTAGAAAAAACAGTCAGGGGATGCTTTGTAAATAGAGACATGCGAATATATTTCTTGTTTGGAAATAGATGTAATGTCTTTAAAATGACCTATTTTATTTAATATTTGCTTCAATATGTTTGTCAGAAATATCGTTTATATAAGAGTGGGTAAGAAGTAGGACGTTTTTGCACACTGCTTTTTACAGATAACTTTAGTTGACATCATCGTTGACATATATCATAGGTTTATTTTTACTCAGTAACTGAGTAAGATCTAAATTATAACCAAAGATGGATAGTGGCTAACAGTGGAATCCAGGATGCGCGTTTTGTCCTATTTGTTATTCGTCACCTGGATGTAACTGCATCTCAGAAATGATATTCACTCTAGGACTCGAACCAAGTACCGTTTGCTTCAAACGCTATCTCTCTTTATAATGCTTGTGAATTAAGGCAATATAGAGACAATATGCACAGTATGCACATATTCCAATAAGAGACTGGTCAATCGCTTTCATAAACATCAATGGGAAGATTCAAGTAAATAATACTAAATGAATTTAAATTCTAAATGAATGTAAAATTGGAGTCAGTACTTGTTGTTCGTACTGACTAGGAAATGTATATTGATTATATAAATTGTCATTAAATAATCAGCTCTCCCAAACCTCTAAGTTAAGCAAACATTGAACATCCAGCTGATGAGTCCCAAATAGAACGAAACTAGAGTCCTGGATTCCACTGCTAGCCACCATCCATCTTTTATAAATAAAAATAATCTATTTGTAATATATATATGCAAGGAATAAAAGTGCACTCTATTGATAAGACAAGACTAAAAAATTTGTTAATGTTTAAAACTAAGAACTTATAGAACTTTATCATGTTTTATTGCTTTTACTAGGAATGTAAAGCTTATTTAGCAAAACAAAGTATCTTCTATTTTTTGTTACATACATGAATGGATTATTATAAACTATCTTGGTGTTCAGTATAATATACATGTGTTATAACTATATATGATAATTCATATTACTGATACATGAATACAATCTCACAAGATGCTTCTAACTGAAATATACAATGTAAGAAAACACTATGCTTGTTTAGAAGTTACATTGCATAAATGTTGTAACTACAGAGAAACAAGGTAACTTCAAGTTATCCAGTAAAATAATGGTATCTTTTTCACACAAATATTTTAATTGTTAATATCTGTGTATATCATCTTAACACTTCAGTGAATACTAATGAAGGTACCTGATAAACAGTTAAGTTCTTGTGTGAATCCTTGATTCGCATGAAATTGTTATGATCCTTTTATAACATTCTGTTCAAATTAAGCTGATCAACTATTAATTTACTAATTATATGGATTTGTTTCATTACTTTCAGTTAAGTTGTACAGAAATGCTCTAACATGATGTGTAAAGACAAATGGTGAACTTATCCGTATTTGATATTATCTGAATAAAGCTGAATATTATCTAAATAATATAATTCAGTTTAGTATATCAAAAACTATTAGTTGTTGTGTTTTATCAATTACTCAATGGCTTATTTCATTTTTTTTTAAAAAAACCCAATGAAATGATTATCATAAACCTGATAGCTTTCAATCATTTCAGTATATAGATGCTCAATAGTGTACCATGTTAAATTCAAACAAAATATAGGTTAGAGAATAAATTTTGTTCGAATGAGTATAATACTTAATTGAATAACAAGTTTAATTCATATTTTATTTTATTAATCTACTAAGTCATTGTATTAATGATAAAAGAAACTAGGCATAATTCGATTGTCTCGGTTATCTATTAATATGTGTTATAGATCTTTATTATAAAATGTATTTTGTTTGTATGTCGTCTTGTTTGTTTTTTTTATATTTTCATTTATGATTTATGTAGTTGGTTTTGATAAAATAAAACTATATTTTCAATTTCAAAGTCATATTACGGTGTGACTATAATTTATAGACAACCTTTGAGCGATGCTAAATTGACCTTGGGAGTGTTTACCTACTTACTAGAGCTAAATGAGGGTTACAAACCGGTGTGAGGAATTAGAATTATGATTTACAATTGATGGTTAAGGTTAGGAATTAGATTTAAGGTTTTCATCACGAACTGATATTAGTTATAATGTTGAGAATCGTTTTACCCAAATGGGTGAATGAATTTCGCACCAAAATCCCAGACCTGTTAACGTAAATCTGATTGGTTCGTCCATAAATTATAGTTTACACCATATTTCTTACTATTATGTGAATATACAATGTGAGATGGAAATAACTGGTTTTTAAATTGTATAGAAAATATAATATCCAATGCTTTCAGGTTTTGAATGGTGGTCTAGATTCAATTGACTCATGAATTCAACTATTAGATTTATTCCGTTATTAAATTTAGTAACAAGAAAGAACATTAGAATAGTGCCAGCCAGTTAGTTATTCATTCATAAACAACATGCAGCCTTGGACTTTTATATGTATTGGGTTGTGTTGTTACACTATAAAATCATAGAGAGGGATGAAATTAATAAATTAGAAGTTACGCTATCACTGATAGTATAAAAATTACGCGTAAAAAAACCATATGTATTGAGAATGAAGAATGAATAAGGGGAGTAAAAAAGTATTTAAAAAATTTTGAGCTGAACAATCAATGAACAGTGATAAACGACTCTACCTGTTCTGTTGCTACTGATTCTGATCCATAATAAGAATATCTTCAAGTATTAAATATAATAATCAAGTAGACTCCAACTAAGTAGTATGGATTTATTAAGATAACTCACTACAATAAACAAATTGGTTCCATAATTTGATTTGAATGCTCTTCGTCTTCTTTTAACCTACACCTACAACATTATAGTAGACGATAGTTGGACAGACGTATTATATATAGTACAACTATGTTTAGAAATGTTTAGTAAACTAAAATATAAAAATGTAATTTTCAAAAGTTAACCACTGATTTATATTATAATTTTTAAATACTTGTTTTTTTTTTCTTTTTAAGCGTTCATTCATTCATTATTTAGTCTAGTTAACATGTACTTATTTCTACATACTATACTACCCTGAAATGATTTATATTAATGATGAAAAGTAAAATGTGATTGGTCAATGCTAAATTATTTAATTGACCAATCAGATAAAAGCTTCAAGTTTCTTTTTTTAATTTTTTTTCCAAAATCATTTAATAATATCAGATTGAAAATAAATGACTATTATCCAGTTTCATATAAATATTATTGAATATGTGATGAAAGGATATTTTATTAATATGGAATAGAATAAAATTAAGAAAGAACAAAACGGATCATATTAACATAAACATCATTAAAACATAAGGTTAATCAGTCAATTGTTATTGTTTCTCATTTAAATAAACAATCTATAAATGAATCTATATGATTCTATATATTTATTTTCAATGAAATGATTTAAATGTATATCAATAACAAATTTGATAATAATGAATTTAAGTAATATCAGTAGTATTAATAGTTTAATTATAAAATTAATCTATTTTATTATATTTATATGTATGATTAATGTAATGGAATTTCATTATATACATAAAAATTCTAATGAAACTCAATATTTAGAAGAGATTCAATTGAAGAAAACTAATTTAACAAGTAAAGAATCATTATATTCAACTGTTACATATAATAATCTATCGGACAATAACATTGACAACATTAATCTCAAAGGTAAATATATGTATATAATTTAATGTTAAATTATAATTTTTATTAACCAAGTTAGTTACTTTGTAATTTCCTTGTTATAGAAATTCAAGATTGCAACTAAAACCAGTTTCTACTTTCATTTATGCATACTGAAGTGATTATCTTAATTTATTGTTAAATTACAAGTTCTAATATCTTTGGTATATAGCTTGTTGACAAGTTCATAATGACTAGAATGGGTTTTGTGGAGAATCGTTAATTTCAATAGTTGAAATCATGAATCAATTGAAGCTAGACCACCATGGAAAACCTGGAAGCACTGGACGGCCGTTTCGTCGTGGATGCGCACTGCTGAGGAGTCCCATACTAGGACGAAACGGCCGTCCAGTGCTTCCAAGTTTTCCATGGTGGTCTAGCTTCAAATGATTCATGATTTCAACTATTGAAGTTCATAATGGTAGTCTCATTTTATTTGAGGATGAATAATCAAAAGAATATTTTATAAATGTTTAGGTTAAATCATTGTAAATTGATTGCAATTATTAATGTGAATTGATCTGATATTTTCAAAGTAATAGGGATGTTTCCTGATCTAAATACTTTCATTCTGAAACGTTTCATGATTATGAGTAAATATCTAACTAAAGTTAGCTAAAATCAATCTGTGAATTGAACTCTCTTCAGAATTAGCCCATTAGAATAGCAGTGAGATAACTTTATTCTGAACCACAAACAAGGAAAGAGTATATTTTATAAAAGCATGAGTCTCATTTCTTGGAGTTGGTGAAAAGGATTGTTGTGTGTATAAAATGTGTGGCTATATTTCAAACTTTGAAACCGGTTAAATTTTTTGTAAATTGATACTGGTATAAGTTATAAATATGAGAGCAATTTAAGTTTTGACAAGTGAATTTCTCAGACAGTTAGGACTGTGTACATAAGGAAGTAAGTTAGGAAAATATCTAAGTCAATCTCGTATAACTACCATTGACAACCATAGTCTTATGATGTTATATCCCTAAATATTTGCAGTGAGTAGTAATTCCCTAGCAGTAGCTGTATACTCATGACTACGTGAGAGTATTTTTCGAGAGATAACTGACTCTCTCTACCCTCGGCTATACCAGGGTATTTGGAAGCTAATCTATTTTCATAACATATATCTTTAAACGTATATATTGAAATTTCTTAATATAAATCTTATCTTTTACACTTGGCATTCTTTCTATGAGTTGTACACATTGAAGTGTTCAGTTAGTTTTATTTGTTTTGTTTTTACATTTGTTTTTTTTGTTTACTTCGAATTATCAACAAACTATGTTATAATTATTTCCTGACATTTTAAGAACCGTTTGTTTTTTATTCATATGAATTTATGTGTATAGTTTTTTGAAGAAGAAAAAAAAAAGAAAAGAAAAATCAAAACACAATTTCTTTCTTTTTCTTTTTCATAGAAGTGAAATCAATTGTTTTCACATATTTTAACTTGACTATTAGGTATGACTAAAAATAGCATTAAATTTGATCAATGGAATATGAACAGATAAAGATGAATTTCAAATATTCTTATTATAATACAGTTTTATGATTTAAAAAGAATAAATAAACAAATATCAGAAATGTCAATAGTTGAAATCATGAGTCAATTGGAGCGCACTGTTGAGGAGTCTCATGCTAAGAGGAAACGACCGTTCAATGCTTCCAGTTTATCCATGGTGGTTTAGCAATTATTGACTCAGGATTTCAACTATTGAAATTACTAAAATCTCCACAAAACCTCCTTCTGATAAATATCATAAAATTTTTTAACATAGACTTTCAATATATGTTCTATGATTTAACAGTTGAATTTATCAGTTGATCAAATCTAGATTACTATAGAAAATCTGAAAACACTAGATGACTATTTCGTTCTAGTATGAAACTTCTCAACAGTGTGCATTCATGGTCTTGCACTTGGGCTTAGAATCCAGGAGCTCCGGTTGGGATTTTCTGTTTAAAAGTCCTATACTATGAGGTAATGGCCGTTCAGTGCTTCTAGGTTATCATTTGTGGTCTAGCTTAGATTGACCTGTGAATTCAAGTGGTAAAGTACTACAATCTCCAAAAATATTCATACTAATTATATGTTCTGTATTTTTATTATGCTTGTATTTTTGATTAGCACAGAACAAATTATTGATTATTGAGAGAAAAAAGGGTAAAGTTTCATGAAATCTTAAAGAGTACACATTCGAAAAATAATTAACTGTGTGAATTAAAACATGACTCCCTATTCACTGGCTTAAAATGCACCTCATAATCGACCCAAGTCTACATTTTTTTCAGTAAGTTTTTGAACAAGCCTTACCCTATACTGGTAAGCTTTAATTATTCTTTTGTGATAGTAGCATAATATTTATCTAACCTTATTCAATAAATAATCAGCAAATTTATGCAGTACTGCTGCAGAAACTAATATAATAATAATTATCATACAATCAATAAAAACGTTATCATTACCAGTCACACATTTGAATTTAACTCGGTTCTTTCTAAATTAAATCTTACATATCAACAATGGTGTAATTCACTGTTCAACAAATAAGTGGTTATTTAAACGATTAAGGCAGACAAATGTTACTGAGTTTGAATCCAAATATGAACATCAGCATTCGGATTCTGATACACATATTTAACAAGTTCAAAAGTGGGATAATATGAACATTCTACTAATACTAATATGTTGTCAAGTTAGAATAATCCTATCTAGGTATTAGAAATAAATTATCAGTGTATAGATTAAAGATGGATAGTAGATAGCAATAGAATCTATGATAAGCGTCTCGTCCTATTTGGGACTCATCAGCCGGATGTACCTGCATCTCAGAGTTGGTATTCACTCTGGGACTCGAACCCAGTACTGTTCACTTCGGACGCCATCGCGTTATCCACTTAGCTATTGAGTCCTGAGTGAAAATCAACTCTGAGATGCAGATATATCTGTGGTAGATAGACACGACAAACTTATTTTGTAAATAGTTTTTGATATTATTTGAAAAATAAGTTTGTCAAGTCTATCTCCACATATCCGACTGACGAGTCCCAAATAGAACGAAACGCGCATCCTAGATTTCACTGATAGCCACTGTTCATCTTTGCCTAGAATGCTTGTGAATTAAGGCAATATCGACGCAATCCAAACAGTATGCACATATGTCAATAAGAAATTGATGAATATCAGTCGTAAAGATGAATGGGAAGATCCAAGTAAACAATACCAAATGAATTTATCAGTGAGTTAGTTTCGAACAAATGAACTTCCATTTCTCTTGTAAGTTGATCAGTAAACTTACTTGATGGATTCTATCGGTGAGGGTTTTCAACATTATAAACGGTTGTTTTAAGTGAATATTATTATTTGAATAATTATATTACATCACACACTGATTTCAGTTTGATAACCACTGAAAACTAGAACACAATGAACAACTTTTATTTCGTCCTAGAATGTAACTTCACCTGGTATTAAACCCATGACTATTGTTCTCATGTGCAAGTGCTCAACCTGTAGATCACTGAGTAGTGAGTCCGATCCCTGAATGCTCAGTGATCTGGAGTACTATACTAGAACGAAATGTAATTTTAATAAGGATGAATATTTTAGTGTCTAGTATTTTCATGTTTTGACTCAATTCTTATGTTGAAACATTCATTCAAGTCTCTGTTATTCTTATCACTACTTATACATCTTTGAACACACGATCGACTTGTACTTCTGACCTGCTGTGTTTAGTTACATAATCTATACCATTATGAACTAACAAACTACCTAAATTGGTTCAATGTTATGATGATTATTCGTTTTTTTCATTTATATACAAATGTTATAGCACATTGGAGAAGAGTTTAATGAAAATAACAAACAACATAGTTCATTGTTATGTGTTCGTTCTAATTTTCACAAAAGGAATTTTGAAAACTAATTAACAGTAAGATGATAACACATTCGTATATTAATATGCACAAGTATGTCGATGTGGGTAATAGGTCAATCCACACAAGATTTACATATACCAAAAGAACCTGATCAATAGTAGTCGTAATCAATAATGGGAAGATTCAAACGGTCAATACAAACAAATTCTCCGTAAAACTTATTGGATTTGTTGAAGTAAAACGGTAAAGACCTTATGGAAGTTACCATCATGAATACTACGCTGTCTAAGTGTGGTTTAAAAAAATCATATTTTCTATTTCATATACATTTACTTACCTGATCTCTGGTCAGTTATTCGGGAAGGAGACTGTAAATTTTTGGATTTTGAAATACCAATCATCTGGTACTAACTGATGAAAATCCTATCAAAGAAGATAAATCTGATATAATTTAGTTTAAAGCATAAATTAATTAGGTTATATTTTTTGAACAGCAGATAACAATATAACTCATGACACTGGTTTCATCATATTAAAGACTCATCGTCTGTATGTATCTGAATCCTATTGTTGACAGTGAAGCTAAAATCTAATATCTATCCTGTCGAACGTTAGCATGTTAAATAATAATCTAGTGAGTCAAGACGGTAACAAACCTATTTAACAGGTTCAATAGTTACTATTAATTATAAATGACTGATTTAATGATGTTCTGAATATCAACAAAGGGACACTTTAACCGTTTGCATATAATAATAGATAAATTTAATTTTTGCCATTATAAGAGATCATTCATTACCGATATTGGATAGTAGTTAAGTAACATTCTGATATACTTAAAACACGAAGTTCAGCGGAAGGATCTCTTTTCAACGAATTTACTATCAAACTGTATAATTAGTTGAAAAGAGATCCCTTCTCTGAACTACGTGTTTTAATTTTTAATGTTTAAATGAGAATTATCTATCAATTCTGATATACACCATTTTTTATCCCCACAATATGTATCTTATATTGTGCATTGTGAAGTAAACTATTCTTAATACCCACAAATTACTTAGATGTGACAATAATAATACAATCAAAAGTTAATGTATTCATTT